GCGCGCGATGCGGCCTCGAAGCGGGCCCGCAGCTGCCCGAGGCTGGCGGGCTTGGAGCCGCCGCACGCGCCGCACGACGCGCGCTCGCGGATCAGCGTCTCTGGCTGCGCGCCGCACGGGCAGTACCAGTCGCGGTGCATCTTGACCTCGCGAAAGGGCGCGGTGGGGGGCTGCTTGCCCTCGAGCTCGCTGGCCGCCGCGTAGGCGCCGCGTCCTCTCAGCTGCACGCGGAGCTGCTTCGATCCAGACCCCATTGGAGCCACTGAGACGGCTTGTCTGCCGAGGCTCGTGCTCGACACGAGGTAGTCCTGGACGATGAGCGGCGATTGGCTGACCCCGCCGAGGAAGAGCTCGACGCACTCGGCGGGCGCAGCCGTGGACTCGGCGGGCGCAGCAGACGACGATGCGGCAGGCGGCGACAGGCGCCGCCGCTTCGCCCCCGCGGAAGGTCGTGGCTGTTGCCGATGAGCAGCGACCATCCTGTCTCAAACGAGCCTTAGCCGGCGGTGGCAGGTCAGGGTCCCAGGGCCCAACTTGAGAATCGTGCTTTGAGTTGGGTTGTTTCGTGTTGGGTTGGGTTGTGGTTGGGTTGGGTTGTTCCGCGTGAGGTTGGGTCGTCGGCGCGAAGGGTGAGGTCTCGACCGCCGCCGCTCACGCCAGCGGACGGCCACTGCCGGTGTTTTTGGCTTCGCCACCGTCCAAGGCGTGCGCCATGCGCTCGCCGGCATCGAGCGAGCAACGTGATCGACCGAGCGGCTTGCTGTGTGGCCGCCTTCTTGTCGCTCTCGTCGAGAGCGTTTTGGCGGCCCGGCGGGTGGGAGAATGTGTGTCGTCCTGATGTGTCACTGTGTACGTCACATCGATGTGGATAACAAGCACGGTCGATCCGTCGAAGCGATACACTCGTTCCTATCACGCTGGAAGGCTTGCACGGAGCTCTGTGCCGGCACACAGAAGAGCCGTGCGGCAAGAAGAGCTCGATGGGGAGCGAGAACCGTCAGATTTTCAGGTGTAGCCTGAAGTCCGTCGCGACGCACTCAATCCCTCCCGAGCGAAAGCCTGTGGCTCTCTCGAACTCGTCGATATATTGCGAATAAACTGCTCTTCCCGCATAGCTTGCAGAGTCAGAGGCGCAGAAAGGCTACGAGTGTTCGACGAGTCTTGCGAGCTGCGCGGTCAAACCTGGGG